TACTCCCGATTCCCCCAAAATTAATGGCCATTTCTCTTAATAAACCTAACTACAATGATGATTCTCCTGACTAAAAGGCTTTCGCAGAATTCAATCAAATCAATGAATCAAAATAGTGTTACTAAACTTAGGCCAAAGTACCGGGTCAAATATCATCATGAAAGTTTCATGGACTTTAGCGATTACTGTGGCATGATAATTCTTACTCTAGCCAAAAGTTCAACTAGAAATACTAACTGAGCAACAATAGTCTACACTAAAAACAACTAAAAACTTGCAAGGGAAAGTTGGACGTCAGAACGTTGTCCTTCCTACACATCCCTCTGAATTTATGTTGAAAACCAGTATCAGAAAAATGGCATTGCAGTCCCAAGACTTTGAAAGTGAGCTCTATAATAAAATAACTATAACTTGTCGTTTTCTATTCTGTCCCCATGATCTTAAAAGTAAAAATATGCAGTCAGTCACGAAACCTGGAGGTTCTTAATTGTCACGTTTTAACATATTCAGGAGGAGACCGAATTTTCCAATCCCGTTTTATTTACAGATTTCCAATCTAGTTGAGCGATGTAGAATATATTTGGGTAATTCTTATAGTGGTGCTAGATGACCATTATAGCCGAATGCAGCTAGAAACTCTGTGATCGGTGTCAAAGTACTTCCCTACTTACTTGACTATATTTGCGTCTATTTATGCTTCCTTTAAGGTTCTTTTCCCCGACACTACAGCGCGTCCAACGGTTCCACATGGAACAAGTGAGTTATCGGATCCCATTCAAGATTATTTTTTTCCCTCTGCCACGCAGGAAGCATTGCGTTTTCGGCAACCTCGGTCGTCCTCACTGTATTATTGGGTTCCCATATTTGAAGCAAGTAAGGTTGACTTATACGCCCCCCCCCCTAAACAGGACGTAAGAACGAGAACCACCTGCATTACAGGTGTCTTTCAGCCCAAAGCCAGGCGACATAGATTTAGGCTAATGGTTAAGTTTGGAGTCAAGCTTAAAGTTGAGTTAGAGTTAAGGTTAGGGCTACCGGTCAGGTTTACATCAGGCCTAGTTTTAGGGTTAGGACTCGGAAATATGTACTCTTCTCGGACTTTGACGTACGGCTGCCTTTATTGCTTGAGCGGGACGTTGATATTCTCCCGTTGGAGCGTAAGTAAAACGTTTCTGGCAAACAGAATTCCTGTTGAAGTAACTGCATCTCTCTCTCTCTCTGCTCAAGTGAGGTCTTTGATAAAATCCGAGAGAGATCCATCAAACACTGCGTCGGACTGAATAGTTTCCTTTAATCATAACCGTGTTTCTCAAAACCGTTGGGAAGCAATCGTGGATTACTATTCTTGGGACAGTTGTACCAATCTATTGTTGACTTCTCCCTGCCCTGAAGAGAAACGGCTTCGCCTTTATCCTGTGTTTACTCACGGGACGAAAATCTCTCAGCCAGGGGTAATCTTACCCCATTTAAGCTAATCTAGTCACCCTGAATTTGTTCATCAAGTTCTAAATTGCCAATGGTACTGACATTAGTCAGACCAGAATTCCAAAGACCCAACCGCAAGAACGCAAACTGATGATGATGAAGAATACTCTGTCGATTTATGTCA